AATATTAAGGTGATTATGAGTAGAAAACGAGTGAATTGTAAGATTTCAAACAACTAAAGAAAAGATCCCCATAACATTCATCAAAGACAACAATTTGAACACGTAGAAGATTCTTTTCAACAGAATTCTCTAATCAAGTTGTACAGTTATTAACTACATTTGTACAGCATGCTATAAGACAGTTACATTCTCAGAATGGAGTAAGATCTAAGGATCATAAGTAAATATTGAGGATGATATATATATATACAGAAGAATGATATGATGGTGATAAACAAAAAGATAATGAATAAGATGGTAGGAGTTGCCTTTAGTTTGTTGTGAAGGCCAAGGGAGAAGTAGTAATGCATGGATATGTTCTTTCTGTACTGTGTATCTGTGATATTCTAGGTGAAAACGGATATCCAGATTAGTTCATGAAAACTAACACCAACTATATTATTCCTAAACAAGAACTGATGACAGTAGGGAAGAAGCCTTTATTTCTTCGCTTACAATTCAAGGGAGATGTTGCAAGTGACATTCTATCATAATGCCTAACTAGACCAGCGTCAAGAGGACGTTTTATGCAAGTCGACTTTGTGTATCATTCAATAGTCGACCAATGCTTAATCCAAGACTAAAGGATTGCCTAGATCAATTTAACTGTTCCTGTTGAACTAGTTACATAGGGGATACGATTAGACAGGTGCATCTCCGTACACAACAGCATTTACCAGCTTGATTTGGAAAGGGTGAAGTGAAAGTGGTGAAAACTTCAGTCCTAGCGCATCTAGTTAACATAGGGCAATATCATTCATCTTGTTCCCAAGACGACACCATATGCCGCCAACTCCTGCACAACATAACGGAGGCTGTCGCAATAAGAGTGATCAAGCCTGAACTCTCCATTCAGAAAGAACATGTCCATGCATTACTACTTCTCCCTTGGCCTTCACAACAAACTAAGGGCAACTCCTACCATCTTATTCATTATCTTTTTGTTTATCACCATCATATCATTCTTCTGTATATATATATCATCCTCAATATTTACTTATGATCCTCAGATTTCACTCCATTCTGAGAATGTAACTGTCTATAACATGCTGTACAAATGCAGTTAATAACTGTACAACTTGATTAGAGAATTCTGTTGAGAAGAATCTTCTACGAGTTCAAATTGTTGCTTTTTATAAAATGAGTGAACATAGAACAAACGGTCAATGGGATAAATTAATTATCACCTTCAAGAACAAGATCCATAGTTTCAACACTTATGTCAAGTCGGTGCTTTTATATGGTTCAGCGACTTGGAGCGTTACGAAAAGCATTTCCAACAAACTACAGATATTCATCAATAACTGCCTAGGCTGGCTCGTTACTGAAGATCAGATGGCCAGAATGAATAAGCAACAAGGAACTCTGGCTAGCTGGCAGCGAACCAACCAACAAACTATCGCTCAACAAATATGCAGAAGGAAGTGGAGATGGATTGGGCATGCATTGAGAAGACCATTCGGGGACATTACACGACAGGCACTCGAAAAGAACCTCGATGGGAAACAACGAGTCGAGCGTCCTACGGTGACATGTAGGAGATTATGTGAGGAAGAAATGAGAGCTTGTGGGCAGGCAGTCGTGTAGCCAGGTTCAAAAGATTTCAGAGAAGAGAGTGCACTGGAGACGTGCTAGTGAAGCCCATATGTTCCACTAGGAACCCAAAGGACAAATAATAATAATTCAATCTGACCACAGTAGTATAAAGTTGTTATAGTCTTCTTGCCTATCGTTAATTAAAACGTAAACTTTCCAAGACAAAAACTTCATCAACAACAAGTTTGCCTTGAAGTTGCCTAGTAAATACCAGTAACATTTCACTAAACTGTTTAGTGATGATATTTAACAATATGATTCTAAACAAGACGATTATAGAAGAGATCAAGAGATCTTTAGTCATTGTCATGAATAGAATCAAGAAATCTACAGCCGATCTGATACGTCGACTAAAGTCATCTCTCTAGGTGAGTCTAAATGGCTTCATTTTATGCCTAGAAAAACTAACAATCCTAACAGAATTTATTGTACGATTAAGGTTCACAAACCAGGTTATCCCATTAGATCCAAAATTCACTTCAGAAATACTCCAACATATGAACTAGCAAAGTATTTAGTATCGATTTTGCATCCTATTAAGAACCGTTCTAATTCCACACTAGTTAATTCTTACGAGTGCAAATTAAAGCTTAATGACATACATATATAGAAGAGGATGAAAAAATGGTCAGTTTTGATGTAACTAGTCATTATATCAAAATATCAATCAATATGGCACTGGAGGTAGTCAGAAGTTGATTGAATATTGACTCAGAACTTACTCATAGAACTAAGATATCAGTTGATGAGATCATATTAGGCATACAGTTGTGCCTAACCTCCATAGTTTTCGAATTTCAAGACAAAATATACAGACAAACAGAAGGAGTAGTAGTAGGATCATCAATATTCACAATCATAGCAGATATATTTATCGATAGTTGGGAAGACATGACGGTGATATATGGATGACACATTTACTAGTGTGTTGAAAATCGGAACATATCGACAATTTCCTCACACATATAGACTCAGTAGTAGTCGCAATCCAATTCACTTACGAGGAAGTAGAAAATGAACAAGGAGAGTTACCTACCTTTGATTTCAGGATAAAACGAAGAACAGACTGTGGTTCGGATACTACCTACCGTCCACAGAAAACCAACACATTCTAACAGGCATTCTACACTTCAAGTCATCTCATCCAATGTCAGTCAGTGAAGGCAGGTTTAGTCAACTATCTAAATGACAGAGCTAGAAAACTCACTAATCAGTGGAAAGACCTAAACGAAGAACTGAAGGACATAAAGAAGTACTACTAATAATAATTAATAATTATCCTCTACAGTTTACTAAGAGATTCGTACGAACACATAAGAAACGACGAGGTTGTGAACCTTCATCGATTGAGATGGTTGGGACACGTACTACGTATGCCTAGTCACCGATTGCCTCGTCACACAATGTTGGCTGAAGTGGGTCCAGGCTGGAAAAAGGCCCGAGGTGGCCAGACTAAAACATGACACCAATGTATGAAGTCTTTGACTGTTGGTTTAAGCCATGTAGGACGATGCAGACTAGGTGGTTGGGGTCCGGGACAAGAGGAACCAGTGGTTGGAGACCCTAGGTGATATGGCTCAGAACCGAAGTCAGTGGCGCAGATGTATACACACATTATCCTCATCTTAACAACGCTATACCGAATCTCACCATTTTGTTATTCCTCTTTCCTTTCTTCTCGTACTTATATTTCTTTTGACTGCATTCACTTATCTTCATCCTTCACCTCACTACCTTTTTACTTGATGTGCTGATATGAGGTGTGGCAACTCGGACCGTTACGCAGTAATGCCTGGTCCTATATTGATAATGATAATGATGATAAGAAACGAAATAATAACGATGAGACAAGTAAAAAGGAGTTCACAGTCTTCATTGTCTTACCCTACCAAGAAGGAACATCAGAAACTTTGCTTAGGATCATCAACAAAGTTGGAATTAGTTGGGGTGGCATTCAAACCTACAAACTCATTTAGAGATACGCTTCGTCGGCTGGCTTAAGACTCTGATAGAACCAATGCAGCAAAATAATCTAATCTATCAAACTGCATGTAATCACTGTGAGTCAGGTCAACTACATAGGTCAAAGTAGGCGGTCGGGGTCAATTAGAATAGCGCAACATAAGAATTTATCTAAATATAGAATGATAGACCCCAATAAGATCACTAATCTAGAAAGTAACTCGGCTATCGCAATGCATGGATTAACACATACCTACACAATGGCGTGGGTGGGATAAAGTTCATTGTCATTAAGTGGAAAAAGGGAGAGATTGATTACTGAATCTTTATTCATCCAATCAACACCCATCCAACACATGTAATACAAATTATGCAACACCCAATGTATGCATACCAGAGATATAGAAAACTTTACTACCAATAGAAACAAAGAATAAGAAGTGGTTGATAGGACTATAAAAATCATATGTAGAAAGGAATGTGATTACACATTGATATGATTGTGAGCAATAGTAATCTATGCTTGAAACGTCATCCAGTAAGTAGTATACTGTATCACTGTGTGTTATACATCAAATAAACAAGTCTAATATGGAATTAAATTCTACCACAGTGTCCAGGTTTTACACTGATATTACATTAACAGTTTGGTCGTGAAGCATTTTGGACCAGCCTTGACAAAATATCTCATGATCACACTAACTAAAAAACCATCCTATGCACAATAGACATTCCAATTCAATGTTTCATATTAGGGGTCTTGTGAAGGCGTTGAGCAGAAATTCGATTATGTTTGACTAATATATGCTTCATACCTGATAAATCCAAAAGGATGCTCCAAGACTGGTCCTGCTAAAATTACTCCTAGTTAAAGAATATAGGAGTGATATGGCCGAATCTATCGATCACTTCACTTACTTATGCAGCTGCTAATTGCTGACAAAATCTCAGGTTGGATACAGAAGGACCGTTTAGCATTTGCCAACTTGCATCATCGCTGACACCAACTGGAGAGATATCCGAGTATCCATCAAACGATGAGTATACTGCACTGTCGTGGTAGAGTTCATTGTATTCTGCTGTACAGGTAGCTGTGAGACATCAACGTTAAAAATAGAAGATATGAAGCAAGTTGTGAACTTTCATCAACTGAGATGGCTTGGACATATATTTAGCATGCCAAGCCACCACTATCTACTTCGATGTGCCATGGTACACGAAGTTGGATTAGCCTAGAAAAGGGTTCAGGGTGGGAGACAGATCAAGATATGGCACCCCATTCTATGAAGTCTAAGCTGTATGACGAGATATAGACCACCTGGTCAGGGAGTCCCCGTGACGAAACCAATCAGTAACTTGAGATGATACGATACAAAAAAAAAAACAATAAATTTTACACTTACATAGCATAAGCAATCAGCATAGTAAATCTTTGTGGTGGAGTTGATTGAAATAAACAAGTTAACACATTAAATGGTGACCAATTCCAATCGTTAGAATATCGTGTACTTGATGAATTATTTTTATTATTCATCATTAGTTCATCATTATTACTGAAATTTCTTTGTTGAAGGTGGACTGTTTCCTTATTTATACTGAGTGATGAAATAATTGGATTGGAATATGAATTACTTATACTACCAATAGATGAAACTGTTGTAGTTGTTGTTGTTGTTGTTGTTGTTGTTGTTGTTGTTGTTGTTGTTGTTGTTATTGTACTATTAATCGCTGATATATCACAAGTATTATCATCAATAGAACTTCCGCATACAAATTTCACAACAGGGTTCATATCTACATCATTAGTGATTTTATTTACATTGTTCAATTTCAAAATATGCGATTTATGTATTTCTCTATTGCACTTAGGAATATAACGTTCTAAAATTTTAAATAGAGAAATTTAGTATTTATTTGGAAAGTAATACATTCAAAGTATAACATTGAACATTGAGTTAATACAAAAAGGTTCTGTTACCGTCTCCAATCTAGTAACAGATGAAAATGAACAAGATGCTTAATTTATTTGTAAGATATAAAATAATATTAAACGCACAATCCTAGATTCCTCTTCAACCAAATTATCATAATTAACATTCAGGTAATATTGAAGAACCACATAGGAGCCAATATGTCAATAGACATTGAACAATTCGATTCAATAAAACAATAGAGAATTGCAATTATATCAATATGAAGTAATAACTACTACTCGTTGTATAAGAAATGGCTATCGTTCCGTCATGACCTACGTCTGCAAGAACTGGCACGGAATCATGATCCATCTCTATCCGCCCCAAGGAAAATATTAAGTCACATCATCATAGACAGACTAAAACATGAGCTGAATTCAAAATTATGATCGAAACAGGTTGGATTCAAGAAATACAAACCAAATGCGGATCATATTGCAACGCTACGTTACGCATCATCATAGAACAGAGCATAGAATGCCAGTCAACTCTCTACCCCAACTTCATCGACTTTGACAAGGCCTTCGACAGCGTCGACCAAGAAATAATTTGGCAACTGCTTTAACACTATGGAGTACTGTAAACCTTTATCAACCTCATTCAACAGTTATATGACGACACCACATGCCAAGTGATTCACAATAGAAACATTAGTGATGCCTTTGAAGTGAAGACAGGTTGACAGCTAAGATAAGGTTGCCGCCTACTATCACCGATGATCTTCCTGGTTGTGGTCAACTGGATTCGACTGGGGTTGACTGGGTCGTGCAAGGAACTGTGAGGAGTGAGAAGAAGGGAATAAGCTGGACCGATGAAAAGTGCGTAGAACATTTGGATTTCGCCGATACTCATTTATTTCTAATGTCACACAAACTCGAAGATCCATAGGCAAAAAGCAACAAGTTGACAGAAGAGGCAAGGCAGCGAAGATGAGACCTCCTTCAAGTGAACGTAGAGAAGATAGAGGTAATGAAGATAACCAACCAACAACAACAACAAGCACCAATCACCATCAACTGGAGAAATCTAAGGGAAGTTGTCTCTTCCACCTACCTACCTACCTAGACAGCATCGATTCAACTACAGGCAGCACAGGCACAGGTGGGGACGTCGAAGCTAGGATCGGAAAGACAATAAGACACGCCTTCATTAATCTGAAATCAGTGTGGAGATCTACTGCACTGCAATGCACTCAACATAAACAACAAGATTCGAATTTTCAACCAAGTCAGTGCTTCCATATGGTTCAGAGACTTGGAGCGCTGCGAAAAGCATTTCCAACAAAGTAAAGACATACATCAACGGCTGCCGCTTACACTCGCTCCATACTGAAGATTGGATTAGAAGGCCAGAAAGAATAAGCAAGGAGGAACTCTGGCCTGCCAACGAACTAACAACAACCTATCGCCCAACAAATATTCCGGAGAAGAAAGTGTAGATGGATTGGATTGGACTTAAACTTAGAAGACCGTTTTGGGACATCATGCACCAGGCCAGGCCGTCGAGTGGAACCCAAATTGGAAACGACGAGTTGGGCGTCAGAGAATGACATGGAGATGATGTGAGGAACAAATGAAAGCTTCTGGTCATTGGCGAAGCCAGGTTGAAAAGACTGCAGAGAAGAGAGTGAAATGGAGACGTGCTACTGAAGCCGTATGTTCCACTAGGAACCCCAAGGGACAGATAATAATAATAATAATAATCGTTCCTCTATGACACAGTGGATAACGCCTTGGCGTTTGAAGCGATGGACACCAGGTTCGGAGTCTCAATGTCATCAACATCACTCGGCACCGGAGTGGAGATACATCCAGCTGACGAGTCCTAAATAGAACGAAACGTGCATCTTGCATTCCTCTGCTAGCCACAACAAACCAAGTTACAATATTAAATTAGATTGCAAAAGTACTCTTAAATCATCGACCTGAACCACAGTCATAGCATACAGATTATACGCACCTTAGATGAAGAAGTTGGTTAGAGGAGTACTCAACAAATGCAATATCATCAGACTGTTCTACAAAACATCCGAGTCCATTTGAAGGACTAAATCTCTCTAGATTCACAATCTAATTGCCCTTATAAAATATAATGGAAAAAACTTCCAGTGAAATGGAAATTAAACAAAATGAACACCGGAGAAGTTTCCATCCGAAATCAGGAATGAGAGAATGAGATGTGACTTTACCCAACTGCTTTCAATCCACCCTAATATACTGATATAACCAATACATACAAGTGATAAGAACTATCAACACATGTATACATTACAAATCTTAATCAATCCGGTTTACTGTAACTTCGACTGACTGACTGACAAAAACAACGCAGAACCTAGGACACAGGTGCATCAGGTCAAGTTTCCACATTTCACAGTAGCATACAAGGAACAAGGGAATAGAAGGAGTGATATTGCCTCATACGACTCAGACTAGTGTCAGATATTGGTGTGGCGAGTCTTACTTCAGCTAATATTGTAAATCGAAGTATGCAAAAACACATGTTTATGCTATCCAAGTTACTGAAAGTTCACAACCTCATCAACCGACTCACCTTCCTTGTCTAATATCCTTCGCTTGACTTCGACATCGGTAACATGATGGTTCCACTGTGAGTGAGTAATACTGACAACTGCTTCATATCTTCGACCTGTTACAGTTGTCTCTCGTAGCCACATAACAGGATAGAACGGATTACAGTGCAGTATACTTGTCCTTTAACAGATAGTCGAATGTCTCGTCCATTGGTATCACAGATGACGCAAGCTAGCAAGTGCTAAATGGGCTTTCTGTATCCAACCTGAAATTTCGCCAGCGAAACGTACACAGATTTCTCCTCAACGCGTTCAGAAGACGCTGCATGTTGTTAGTGTCTTCACCTACCATGATAATATTGTCTGCATACTCTAAGTCAATCAGATGACCTTCAAAGAATAGGTCAATCTCTGTGAAGTCAGACGTACCTAAGAAAATGTCCACTAGTAGGTCTGTAACGAAATTAAATAGGAACGGTGACAGTGGGTATCCCTCACCGACACCACTAGTTGTCGTCAATTCACACGGCTGAATAAGTTCGAGCCGAGAACTTTGATTAGCTTTATATACTTGTTCGGTAACTGATAAAGCTATTAGCATAAAGTGTAGCGAAATGTTAGGTAAAATATATCCATTTTGTTTTACATTCATTTCAACCTTTCACAACAACTTGTATCCGAGGTAGAACTACAAAGTTTAATAAACAATACTGCGATGTTTAAAGTAAACGGTATTCAATTTCACGCCTATTGTATGTGAAGGCTATTGGCTAGCTGGCTGGCTGGCTGGCTGGCTGGCTGGCTGGCTGGCTGGCTGGCTGGCTGGCTGGCTGGCTGGCTGGCTGGCTGGCTGGCTGGCTGGCTGGCTGGCTGGCTGGCTGGCTGGCTGGCTGGCTGGCTGGCTGGCTGGCTGGCTGGCTGGCTGGCTGGCTGGCATAGGTGTATAGGGGGGGGAAGGGGTGTTCAAACCCATAACCCATTCATTGGTTAAAAGTCAACTCTGTAAACCAATAGCCATAGTTCCACATTCCCCTTCCAGTTGCGATTTCTAGAGTGCCTCAATCCTTCGTTGTCAAGCTCTACCGTCTATCAGTTGTCTTTTATTATTAAATGAAAGTACATCTTGTGGTGTACTTGCTGAGTCATCGACTCATGGTTTTTTCCCTTCCAGTTTTCCTTTCCAGATTTTCATGGCCACCACTAAACTCAAACTGCTCTACGCCTCCCCCCCCCCCCGCACCTTGCAACAACGTACCTACTTGCCTACCTACCTATCTACAGGCTAGACAGAAACGTATCAACAGCTGATCGTTACAAGAGATCAATACAACTGATCTGATGATTAGTAACAAAGTGTTTTGGTATGCAGAATCTAGGAGGAAGTAGGGCGAAACATCTGCATAGAAAGCTATCTGTCATCTCCCTCTCTACTTCTATCACGAAGGTTCTAAAGTTCTCTGAGTCTGCAGCGGCTAAACGCTTAGAACCATGACTGCGTTCAAAAAAAAGCAATGATGAGGAGTATGTAGGTATGGAACTCCCTCAGCAGTGTTCATCCATAACCTTCACATTCCTTGATCAGTACGTTACCATAGAGTTAGTCAATGGGTTTCGTGTAGAAAACAAAATACTTAGATCATATTATGTCGTCTGATTCAAGGCATAACTGGTGCTCACTAGCCTGGCTAAGCTAATCTAAACACTAGACAGCTCTATTCATTTGTCATCAACTATGTACCCCTCAGTGGAAGGGGTGCGCAGTTTGTCTCTCTCTCTCTCACACACACACACACACACACAGACAAGAAAATGCATGAATAGTGGCAAGCAGTACAATCTACGACACGCATTTCGACCTATTTAGTTGAACGTGCCTGCCTCTCAGTGCATGATGTTATATTCCCACTGGGAGTCGAACCCGGATAACAACAAATAGAAACTTAAAAAAATATTACGCCGATAAAGTAATTCTACATGAATATGGACAATTTTATCATAAATACAGGAAACGGGGAGTATAATCCCAGAAAGCCTACCTTGTTTCAATTCACTGCCAATAACACTTTCTGTTTCACTGCTACCACCAGTAACACCACCACCGCCACTAGTAGTAGTAGTACTTGCTAAACTGATAGTAGTTGAACCTTTTGAGATAATTAAACGATTATATAAATCGGCTAGAATTGTATTCGGATGTGTAGAGAAGTAGTAGCAGTTGTTGTTGTTGTGGTGGTGGTGGTAGCATTCTGTAATAATCCATTGGATAGTGAATTTCCGTACGATGATGTAGAAAAACTCTAGAGAGGTGAACAAAATTACGCAATATACAATTATATATATATATATATATATATATATATATATATATGCATACATGTACTTTTATACATATATCGAACTTATTTTCCGATCTAACCATTTAATGGCGGATAGAAGTGAGTTTCGTTCTGCTTAGGACCAACTCACCAGCTGGATATACCTGCCGCCCCCCCCCCGTTCACGAGGACATTTGGGCAGCTAGGTAGGTTAGCATCAGCGTGGTGCATTGTCTCGTACTGCAACAAAGTATAGAAAGCATTCACCTAATGATACTACAACCTGGCTACCCAAACTACTTGGTTAGGTGTTCGAATCCCTGACCCTAAATCAATGGAGCTACAGTGTAAAACTATTGAAAGCACTTGGATTGAAATTTTTCAAGGTAAACGAAAAAGAAACCTGAGAGGTAGATAAAATTGACTGACTAGAGTAAAAAATAATCATAATAATATTTAGTGAGATTTAGACTTGTCCTATTTATTTATTTATTTATTTATTTATCCCACTCCTCGCCCCACCATAGTGTAAACTATTGCGTGCAATGAATAATTTTTTAGGCAATGAAAAATTGCCTTTTATATTGTTCCTAGAAAGTAGGAGAGTAAAAACAAAAGGATGGATTCAAGAAAAGTCGAACAGGTTGATGATTTCCAAGTAAAATAATAATATCGTGAATATAATAGGGGGAAAAAAGAAACGAAAAACGAAATACATTCAACAACTCTGTCCATATTCGTGCATTATTAGACAAAGAGCCACACCTATTGTATGTAAATGTAAATAATACTACTATTTGACTGCCTAAACCACCTGGTATGGGTTCGAACTCGCAACCTATTGGTTAACAGTCACCTGTTTAAACTGATAAGTCATAGTTCCACATTGAAACAAGACAAAGTAATAGAATGACTAGAGAAGTGGTCCTACAAGATAGATTACAAGTTTATGTATTAAAATGTTTGCTACACTTGTATATGGAGTTCTGTGGAGAATTATTTATTGATTTCAAATTAGTATGCATCATGGACTGATATGTTAGTTGGAGAATCCTCGGTAAGCTGGGAGTATTGGACAGTTGGTTCATCCTAGTAGGGGACTCCTTCAGTTCCACATCATGTATCATTGAGCCTAGGTGATATACCGCCACCTTTTTCATCATCATACCGAGAAGAGTCCTGATGCAACCACATATGCTAAATCAATAGAATTATCTCATTCCAAGATGCCGTATATCATGAAGTATGATCGCTAGTCATTACGGCTTTCCCATTATCATTATTAATATCCACTGAAGCTGTGAGAACAACTTAAAGTACTTTAAATCTGTTTTAAGGCTATAAAATACCAAGATAAGTACAGAGCCTAAACATCGTGGCTTTTGGTTTAGACGGCCAACTTTACAGAAGTGGCATACAAAGTTGAAAAGCGCTTTACTTCAAGAAAGATGCCTCATTGGATTATCATCAACATCATCAAGATCAATATAGGACCAGACATTACTGCCTAACGGACCAAGGTGCCACACCTCATATCAATAAAATGGAAGATGAACAAGGGAAAGAAACTCGGCTGAAAGCAGAAGAAGGAGAAAGTAGTTAAAGAGAAGGAGGATAATGTGTGTGAGAATACGTCCACGCCCCTGACATCGGTTCTCAGCCATAACATCATCTAGAATCTCCAACAACCATTGGTGGTTCTTGTCTTGTGGACCCCAACTGGCTAGTCTGAATCGCCCCACATGGCTCAAGCGAACTGTCAAGGATCTCATGCATTGATGCTAACCGCCCTGAGCCTTTTTCCAACCTGAATCTACTTCGGCCAACATTGTGTAATGAGGTAGACGGTGGCTAAGGCACACGTAACACATGTCCAAGTCAGTCATCTCAGTCAATGAAGGTTCACACAGCATCAACTGCCTTACCTCTCCTGCCTAAAACTCTACCCCTAACTTCTGCGTTACTCACGTGGTGACACCACGAAACACGGCTTATGCTACGAAGGTGGTCAAACACCTGAAGCCTTCTCATATCTTCTACCTTTAATAGTCATGTTTCATAGTCATAGAGTAGGACAGAGTAAACTGCAGCACAGTATACTCGACCCTTACTAGACAATCGGATAACGTGGCGACGCCATACTGTGTCAGGGTCTGTGATACAACACGATTGCTAAGATCCAAATAGGAGGTGCATTTGAACAAAAGAACCAATGGTTAAAAAGTCGAACGCTTCAGCTGAAGATAGACAAACAGACAAAATCAACATGGGACCTTGCACATAAGTGCATCAGTTCAAGTTGCCACACTTTACAGTAGAGCAGCAGACAAAGAACAAGTAGTGAGTAGAAAATAATGATATCAAAGTGGACAAATGTGTATAGGAGGAGAAGGAATTTGAAAATAAAGGTTAGTTAGAATATTCAAGCTATAAAAGGCATGAAAGGGTGAATACACGTGTTCCCTTGTGACCAATTTTCAGTTATGTCACCAAGAATCCTCATTCAACCATCGATTCCTATAGTCTAAGGGGACCCCAGACAGATAGTCTACACATCACCACACGACTCAAATCAACAGTCAGAGACTTGATGCATTGCTGCCTGTCTTAGCCTAACCATCCTGAAACTTTTTCTAACCTAATTGAACTTCTCTTTAGACTACATATCGAAGTAAACGGTGGCTTGGCATAAGCAGCATATATCTAACCCACAAGAAGCAAAAAGCCACCTCTTCAGTCTTCTGTCTAAGTAACCAAGCAAAATTATAAGGCCTTAAACAAAAACGGTGTGGCTCATTATTTGATTAAAAAGCTATACACACTCATCGAATCACATTAAATTCAACGTAAATTCGCAAGAATAACCAGTGCAGTAAATTTAATAGTTTACTACATAAAGGTTGATCACCCCAGTTAGCAAAACTATTCACACGGTCTAAACTTTATAAAAGATCTAACGAGAAACTTTAGTTGACTTTGAAAGATTCTATAAGCTCATAAATAAACTTTCAAAGTCATACTATAACAGAGTGAATGAAATAAGAAGCTCTCCTCCACTGACTCGATGATAGTAATCCTGAGATCTACGGTAGCAATACACAGCAGTATGTATCAGTGAAAACTATTGGTACATTTAACGCCATACCACGAAAAAAATTGAGTCTTACGATGTAGTCATTAAGGAAAGTTCAAATGTACTCGGCAACCATGTGCATATTTGTGCAGTAGCCAATACGTCATACCTGTTATTCGTAAGGGATAAATATACTTCTACCTAGCTGTGCAAACCTTGTCGGTCGGGGTGAGGTTCGAACCCACAACCGAACTAGTTGAAAGTCAACTTCCTAAACTGAAGTGATGTTTAACTATACCAGCTTGAATATTGCTTATGACAGTCTACACATCCCACCTGTTAGTGTTAGCAGGACAAAGGGGAAAAAAGGTTGAGCACTTGTTTTGCTGTGTTTCGTGGTGTCACCACGTGAGTAACACAGAAGTCAGGTGTAGAGTTTAAGGCAGGAGAGGTAAGGCAGTTGATGTGGTGTGAACCTTCATTGACTGAGATGACTGACTTGGACATGTGTTACGTGTGCCCTAGTCACCGTCTACCGCGTAGCACAATTCTCACGGTGGCATGGCATCAATGCATGAAATCCTTGACAGTTCGCTTGAGCCATATAGGGTGGTGCAAACTAGCTGGTTAGGGTCCATGGGGCAAGAGAAACCAGTGATTGTTGGAGATTCTGAGTGATGTCAGGAGCGCAGATCTATCCCCACACATTATCCTCATCTTAACCGCTATTCTTAATCGCATCATCTTTTCGTTCCTCCTTCTTTAACTAATTTTTTCTTCCTCTTCTTTCAGCAGAGTTTCTTTCCCTTCTTCATCTTCCGTTTTACTGATATGAGGTGTGGCAACTTGGACCGTTAGGCAGTAATGTCTGGTCCTATATTGATCTTGATGATGATAACTTATTTCGCCGTGGATAGATGCATACATATATAGATAGATATAGGCAAGTGTAAAGTAGTACCATCCTAACCTTTAAAAACAGTCACTCAACAGACTACATAATCACCGCAGTTATTACTTACACGCGCTTATATTATATGAATGTACTGACTAAGAGTTTTCAACAAAACTTCAAGCCATTTAGACAGTAAATTCAATGAAGTTATAATTGATTACTTAACAAGGCCAGTTTGGATTTTTTTTTATATATTACGGTTATTATGATCAATAATATCATTTACAGTAGCAGAAAAGTATACCTAAAATTTTTCTAGAGTTATTTAAGTTATTTTTTAGGCATACAATTAAACAGATGGAAATTGGTAACTAAAGAACCACATAAAAATGACTGAGAAGTGTCTAATTTACATGAAGTGAATTAGGAATAAGCCAAAAAGGGGATATGATTTTAGTTGGTTGGAGGCAATCGGGTAGGAAGCCCTCGACCTAGGTTTCGTGCCTCTTGGCACTTGTCAGCAAGGCATACCTGCAACCTCAATGGAACTGATGTCCCGCCTGAGATTCAAACCCGTGTCACTCAGTGTTGTAGTCAGAGACTTTACCATTGAGCTATTCGGGCCGCGATTGACCTCCTGTGATTAATTTTCACAGGTATAAAGATTATTTCATATCATGCTAAACACTAATGTCTATTCACCTGTTGAAATGTCTTTAAATCATATCAAAAAATTTATATCCTTTTCAAGTTTAGATTTATATCAACGACTGACATCAATCGGGGAACCATTAAAACAACACTGAACCTTATGACCCTTTTAGAGATCTAGTCAAGCACTTTTAGGTTTCATAGAGAGTACGTTACCATTGAGCTAGTGTGTCCTTGGGAGGGGTCATATGTGCACGCTACTGAGGAGCCCCAGACTAGGACGAAACAGCTAGCTATCCAGTCCCCGCAGATTTCCAATGGTCTCCTAGACGCACTAGTGTAAAACATGACAAATTGACTTCA